GCGAAACAGAATGCAATTGGTGTTCACTTGAAATTTTTACATACTTTTCACAGAATATCAGCGTGAAATAACATAACGCTTGCGTTGTTTTGTCTTGTGAGGTTACCGGAGACCCAATCTATGTCCTTCAAACTCTAAATCCCCAAACCTCATATCCCTAATAATCCTTATGTCCTAAAAGCTCCTAATGCTTTCCTTCAGACCATCCACCAGCTCTTTTACCAATAATAAAAAACAGTACATAGAATCTAATAAAAACAATTCATCCAAAAAGCTCTTCAATCAGAACCACCCTCTATTCGTAAACATTAGACATTATAGTAACCAAAAACACGCAGGTACACTTCTTAAGACTGATGGAAACGCCATTAAACTTATACATTTACGAAGATATATTATAGTGTATTAGTATTGAATCCGATGTGTGGAGTGTGACCTTCCAATCTATCGGTACCTACCATTAATTTGGTAGAAGCTTATCAATCAATTACTTGGGAGCGGTTGCGTATGGCGCACTTTAATTGAGTCTAATTTATGGGGTAGTGCAGATGGTACGACGGTAAAGTAATGAGTTAATAAGATATTTAGAAGGGAGCAAGGTTTTGTTCAGTTTGATTGATGATGTAGTTATATGGATTGTCATGTGTTTTTAGGGTGCCTATCGTTAGTTTTCAAAGGCACTTACTTAGTGGGACATAATTTTAACTGCACTAATAATATTGGCAATAATAAATTTTCTACTCAGATATAAGCACTGATGAAGTATTTCTATGAACAATCACTGTCTATTAGCAAAATATGAGTACTCTTGAGTCTGTCTGAGGTCTGTCTATATTATTATTCTTTGCTTTGCTAAAGACTTATTGCAATTTTAAGGGTTGTTGAAATTTCAAAAGGCCGTGAAAATCTAACTTTCACTGCGAAATACAACGCAACTGGTGTTTCGCCATGGTTCTTTGTAAGGCTGTGCTGCGACTCCAGTCGAAAACAACAAAGAATATCTCTCCAACTAAACGAGGCATCAAATAATATCCTCCAAATACTTAGACACTAATGTAATGATGAAAGATTATAAGTACACATACATTGATTTCCAAAACTGTCATTAAATACAGTCTCGTTGACATTATCGACATCGGACATACGGTCTCAATGGCCGGTACATTTCTCGCATGGTATAACAGTGCAAATATAAGCGCACCCTAGTTATGGGGACTTTACGCATAGCTTCACAAACTATATTCATTGGGGGTTACCGCCCTGTGCGGGCACGGGAATGCGGCCTACGGATGAGCACACACGTGATGGCTCCAGATTGATATTGGAAATTGACGTTTGAAGCTTGGGATGTAATGTTAGTATAGACTGAATTTAGTGTTAATTAAGGTTCAATTTGCAAATATATGTCACTTTAATTTATGAAAGTGTGGGAGAACCATAGACATGATATACGTACTGTAGCCGGAGTACACAAAAAACTGATGGTAAGCAATCGTCACTGCTCAAGGATATCTGCGACGATTCCGAGGTGCATTTTGGGATTTCGAGATTTATGAATTTGGGTACGGGAGAAAGGGGTTTCACCTGCCTGCCTAGCCTGAAACATAGTGTATGTATTATACTGTGCTGTGTTGGCCGCAATTTTATAATATCATAAGAAAACCAGAGGCGATCAAACCCATCACTTTCACAAAAATCTCTTAACAACTGAGCAGAATTTACAAATCCATCTAAGCTTCAAGGTAATCAGTGCCGACAGAAAGCACTACCTCCATATACCGCCAATAAGCCCCTAATATCGTTTTAACGAAGTTAGATAACGATACCCGGATCCTGAGGCACCTTGTCCGGTGTTGGGCCGAAACAAAGCGAATCCGGTTAATTGTGTCTGGGTACTGGCTGGCGTGCGTACACCTTCATTGGATTACCTCAGCTTAGGCCATAACCACAGAGCACTGGAATAGTAATTACAGCAATTGTGGTACATGTTCAATCAGACGCGACATAATTAGCTCAGTCTGAGTGCTTATCTAATTGACTGGCTCACTAGTTGATTGTTATAGAGAAAAAAAATATTTGTTGAGGAAAGTTTTTGGGAAAGATAATATAACCGCGTCGATGGTCGAATTAAAAGAAAAAGATTGAGTAGTTCGGCAAAAATTCAGACTAATCACCTGACGATGTTAACCAATCCGCCGCCTATATGTAGCTTAAAAGTTGAACTACTATATTTATTTATAATTTAATGCACACGTGATAGACAAAGGTACATAAGGCGGACTTAATGCCATATGGCATTCTTCATTCAAGTCTTCTTCAGTCAACCTTAGGGTTCAGTGGAAAATCAGCGAAACTAGGCTTGTTTAGATAAAGCAACGGTTAAGATTTAAATGAAGACAAAATTAAATTAAATAAATACTCAATTTTATAAACAAATTATTGAAAATAACTATTATAGAAAATATCTTACAGTAATGTTCTATTTCAATATATTCCAGAAAGCAAATTAATTTTACATCTCATTTCAAGGACACGATAAACCTTAGGCAACAAGATAGCATCGCATTAAGTATTCTTAAATGGTAAATCCTGTTTATTCAGGGCAAAAATAAACTGGAAATAGCTCAATCCATGTCTACACCCACGGGAGTTTAAAAGACTCGAATAAATTTATTTAACACCCACAGATCAGAGGCGAAACAAACGCTTTAGCGGGACAAAAGCCTGACGTTTTTAGATTTAATTAAAGAAGGATGGAAGAGAAATTGCTACGTATGTAATTATAGTCGCTTTCTTGTTTGGAACTAAATATAGTGTATTGTGAATCTTTTTGAACTGAAATTCGAGGACAAACTGTAAGATGAGTTAGGTGACTTAGCAAAATGAATAACAACGGTATAGCATGATGTAGCATAACATTTCACTTGTAGATTTGCAACAAATTATCAGTGAAAAATGCACACTTTAACATTTTCAAATCAAGGTTATATTAGTATAATTATATATTTGGTAATGTTCATAAAAATTACGTTGTAGTGATAGGTTTGATTGAGGAACCAGTCACAACATTAAAACCTCTGTTTGAAATATTATAAGCATTTTCGTTGTATTTCATTCATTACTTCGAGACTTAAAGCGCCCACTGTTAAGCATCTTTTCACGCTGCGAAGCTATGAGCATTAATCACCTTTAAAACTGTTACTTATAATAAGAAATGACATATAGATAAGTTCAAATTTTTCCTCGATTTTTACAACCACGGTAAGTTAATGGTGTCTCAATAAACTAAGGAATAATCCAAATCCAAACTAATATTATAAATGCGAAAGTAACTCTGTCTGTCTATCTGTCTTTTCTTCTCGCCTAAACGACTGAATCTATTTGTGTGAAGTTTGGTACAGTTTGGAACTCGAGAAAGGACATAGGATAGTTTTTAAACCAAATATCTGCAGGAAGACACTATTCCACGCGAACAAAGTCGCGGGCAAAAGCTAGTATTCATATAAATTAGAAAGGTAGTAGGTATTAGTTCTTCCCAGGTTTCTTCTGCGCACTGAAGGGTGCCTTAACGTTGGGCCATTTATGTAGATTTTTATTTAGTAATAGTTAAATAGTTTGTATCGTCAATCGAATTGATACCTTAACATACCTTGCACTATAATTCAGGTGAATAAATAATACGATAATACAAACATCGCCCTTAAGGTTGCAAGGTAAGCGTAAGGCCGCAGTGCTTCGGCATCGGCTTAGAGCGGGAGAAGGAACGGGGAAATTTTAGTCAGTAAGAGTCTGACACTTCCTCCCACACCTTGGGCGAGAGAAGTCATTTGAAGATTAATTCTAAACAAAAAATCCTTAGGTAATGTTAGGAGACTACCAAATAAGTTTATTTATGCTAGTAAATGATTATATATACATATATACTTATAAAACCATAAAAATAATTTAAAATGATCATACATTTGTGACAATGATCACACATTTGTCTTTTACGATACACTTAAGATTTTTATTTCTAGATAAATTAAAAAGAAATAAATGTGCTATTTGACGTAAAAGTCATAACTTCCAGCGTGCTGTTTCATACAAAAAACTGTCCAATCCTTCTTGCGTTCCCCTAATCCTTAAAATCTTCGAAACCTTGATCCCCAAAAGGTCAGCAACGCACTCGTAACCCGGTGTTTCGGGTGTCTATGGGCGTCGCAAATCGCTTACTATCAGTTTATTCGTGTGCCAACGTATTATATGTAAAATTTCGTTTTACACATTTTTGAAAAGTATTGAATATGTGTCGTAGGAAACTATCGCATTTATTAGTTACAGAACTTACACAGTAAAAAAACAAAGTTGAGCACATATTTCTTAGTTCTCTTTACTTTTCTTCACGTAATAAAGATTCTGAGATTTCTTGCAGTCGACTAGCATAAAAAGTTAGCTTGTGCTTGTTACCAGGTCATGTCTAACTTCAGTTTAAAACTACCTTCATCTTAGTTGCATGTTTTGAACCTCAGTTATTTAAAACATTGTTTGCTTCCCTATGTTCAACTGATTTATGTTTTGTTTTATATCAAGGCGTTAATACATATTGGGTTTAATGGCGTAGGTAATGAGTAAATTGCAAAAAAATCTATTAAACGATATTTTCACATTATTATTTATTTTATGTAGACATTTTTATATCCTTGTGTATAGAAAATTTATATTTTGTTTGTACAAAAATGCAAACTGTTTATACTATAATGTTATAAAGAGGAAATATTTTATTGATTGTTTGTCTGAATTTATGATCTGAAATTACTAGACGGATTTGAAAAGTTCTACCACTGTTAGGAAACTGCCTTATCCCTGGTGAACATAGTTTATAAATTACGTGGGTAAAACCACGAAGCACATTAGTAATTACATATTTTTGAAATAACAATATTTTGTACTATCAGAATCAGGTCATATCTACGGTAAATAAAAAGGGGAATAATTACCTCAAACATTTATTTATTAAATCAACACGCGTCTCTTTTTATCTTATTAATCTTCCTTTTAATTCTCTCCGTGTACGCTGCTACTATGTTAGATAGTAGAGGTAAAGCTGACGACTTCTCATCATCCCTTACTCCCACCTCTGTACATAGCTCTGTCCTGAAATAAAAAGGACTTAGTGAAATTTACAGTTGTCCTAAAATGGCCAGATTGGATAAAGCATATAAGACTGTTTTTACTATAAATAGTTACTAATCTAATAACACAGATAGTGGTCAAATCAATCAAGACCAACATATTTTCAAAATTTAGACCCTAATCGCTACGAGGAGCAGATTGATAAAATAACCTGTGAAAGGTGAACTGAATTTCAATGGAAACTGGAAATCATGTGACACACAGATGGGGTACAATAAGGCCGTTATTCAGCCGAGGTTGCGGATTGAGCACTATAAGGTACTGTGGAGCTAGCCTGGGGGAGAAGGAACGGGATGATTTTTAGTCAATAAGGGTCATTTCCTTATCGATTCACCCTTGCCGAGAGCAGTATTTTTCAGAAGATATTTTCCCTTGTCCTCACCAAAAATGCCATATTTTTTAACACAACTTTTTGCGTGCTCCTTTCAACTTGTGAATAGAGCATATGTTATGAAAGGTATTTTTACTAACCTAGACTTCTTATCCTTTGGCATAGCAGCTTCAGAAACCAGTACAGATGCGGTATACAAGTAACCGTTCCATTCCAAATACTCTCTCACCAGCTCGTTGACTAGAAGCACTTCCTCTGAAGGAGTTGGGGGTGTTGTCTCAGCACCAGCCGTCTGCTGACGCTGTAGGAGTTCTGTTACTTGAGCCCGAACCTTTGTAAATGAGATTTCAGAGATAAATAATATCTTTTGCCAATATTACGTCATTTTTGAGCATCGATGGCAAAGTCAAAGAAATTATTAAGTATCAAGTTTGTGAAAATATTTAATTATGAAAGAAAAAAAAACACAGTTATATATACAATAGTATAACTACTGTCTAATGTATTTTGTCTAATACATATGGTGAAGCGATCAATCGTAATCAATAGTGTAAAATACAATAAAACATGATCTGTTACGGACGATGACAGAATAAAAAAATAAATATCTTTATAGCCCGTTGTTAAGACAATACAAAAAAATAGGAATATACGTAATTTTTCATTGAAAATAAAATAAAGAGTAGCATAGAGAGCATAGATAAAGCTTTAAATGAATGAATGAGAGATCGTTACTCAACCATAGAGTATAAAAAAAATGTACAAAATCGTAACGTCACAAATATTTCCAATTAATAAAAAAGGTCAAAAGTATTTTGCTGTTAGTTTTTGATGCTCCTCAAAAAAAAACTATAATGTTTTAAATTGATCTAAAATACGGGCATTAACATAAATTGCCATCATCCGTATTTTTAAATTAAACACATACCATACATACTTAGGAATATAAATATGTATGTTTATATAATCTAAAATCCAACGTCGGATTGGAATCACATCAATAAACAGTGATGTTGTGAATCGTTAACTCAATGTAAGGATGACTTTAGGTAATTGATTGCTTCAATTTAGGTCAACCGGCCACACTTGAGTGATTAAGTTTCGAGAATGTACCAGGATAAGTCGAAACATTGATTCATGTTTATTTAACTAATTGGTTTTTGACCAGCAATCATTAGTTATACGTTTCCTGATTGCCTTTTTATGTTTTTCATATGCTTAGATTTGAACTTTTTGGGGCACTCTTATATTTATAATATACTAGCTTGTGCCCACGACTTTGTTCGCGTAGAATAGAGTCTGAGATTTTTGGTGTAAAAACTATCTCGTCCTTTCTCGAGTTCCAAACTATGTCTGTAGCAAATTTCACACAAATAGGTTCAGTAGTTTAGGCGTGAAGAAAAGACAGACAGACAGAGTTACTTTTGCATTTATAATATTATACTTAGGATTCGTTAGGATTTTTTATGTACAACATATGATATATGGCATAAAGGAAAATTTAATTAAAGACAAAAAAACATAGGTGCATTGTCTTCCTTTTTGGCAATCCTGCGACCAAGATACAGAATGTAAAAAAGATAACAAAAAGGACAACCTAGAGAACGAAAATTTAAACATAGAACTAAAATTACAAACAAACTTAATATTTTTATAATAACTATCGTGAGACATACTAAATTAACTAAAATTCGCGGGTTACTCACGTGTAAATGTTGACGTCGCCGCGTCCGCGCACGCTGCTCATGAGGAAGAACCCCTCTGTGGTTCGAAACTAGTAGAGCTTTTCTCAACATTTACACGTGAGTAACCCGCGAATTTTAGTTAATAAACTTAATATTTAATAAGCTATAAAAATAATAAATAAATCTACATAATATCTTGATCTAATATAGTAAATTATGTGTGTAATTTGATATTTTGTATAAATAAAAATGAAAAAGAAAAAGAAAATGTTGCATACAAAACTAATAGTTTTAATTATGCGACTTCCACGTAGAAGTAGTCCCAAAAGCAGCTGTTATTCTAGGACCTTAGTTTCGATTGCCGATTTGGATGAATATTTCATCCATTGTAAGTTTACCACTAATAGCAATAGTAGGCTCACCCCTTTATACAATTAAGCCTTAAGTTTTATTTAGATATGTATTCTCACTTTATATTGAACAAAAGGATTTTTTTATTATTCATTCGAGCTTGAAACTCTTTTGTATCGTTCGACAAACATGTGTGACGTGTAGTGTTCAAATACATACATACCATTCTGCTAAACAATAGTGGATCTCAAATATTTGTAAAAAGTTTGAAAATAGAAAGCATTTTAGAAATATACAGCTACGTTTCTAAATCCTCTATAGAATTATATTTTGAGATTATGTTTTTATTATTTTAAAAGTGAAATAATAAAAGTTCATGATTAGGACGTATACAATTTTTTTTCATCTTATAACATTCATCATATATATATCGTAAAACATACTAAATATATTAAAAATAATGGCTTAATCACGTGAAGTAATTGAGAAAATCTCTATTTGTTTCAAGTCCCAAATGCCGTCACCACGAACACTACTCATGAACAAGAGCCCTGTTACAACTTGTAACTAGTACAGACTTTCTCAGTTACCTCAAGTAAGAAACATTGAAAAAAAATATGGCAATTTTTCAGGAAAATACCACGAACGTTGTCAATTAACAACACAGTTTTGAAATCATAGTCCAAATAACACTGGATAATATAATAACATCAAAAATGATTTATTGTTCTGAAGACTAAAGACAATAATCGACACTAGCGCCACAACCAACATTAAATAGCATCCATCGAGTAAACTGAGAATTAATTCCAAAAAACCTCGTAAAACACGCAATTGTATTCCGGATCAGTGAACAAATTAAATAAAAATGATCAGCCATTAATGTTTATATGAACCTTGGCTTTTAATTCAGCACAGCACTTAAATGAACCGTAATATTATGCAAACCGCATTATATAGCAACCACGGTTGTTGGTTACAAATAGTTGTCCGATCGAAAAATCGAGAGAAGGTTTTTTCGTAAACGCTGTTTTTCTTTTAGTGTTAACCGCGTGGAAATGTGAAACGGATTTTTTTTTATATATAAAATCGCTGATGTTTAGGTAAATAAAGTTTATTGATTTTTTATGTGACACTCCGCTCGATGAGCAGGATAACTTGATGGTAAGCAATCCGTAGAGTTGCGAATGCAAGCTTTTTGGGGTGTATAAGGGCATACAAGTCTTATATCACAGCATTTAAAGGAGCATTGAAAAAAAAATCTGCTTTAAAATTGTGATTACTTCTCATTTGTGGAGGTTATGGTAAAACTGTTTTTAATAACAACACCAGAGGAGTAACAGTCACGTGCTTTATAAAAACGAGTACGACCGTTTATAAAAGGTTTGAACCTGTTAAAATTTTCCATAAATATAGGGAACGCATTAAATATATATAAATACAATAACATACACATACCTCAGCATTTATTTTATTTAAATAACCATTCTTCTTCAAAAGATCTTTAATTGCTGTCAACAATTCCTTTTCTGTTATGGCTTTTTCATTCATTTTAATTAAAAATAATAGTTAAAATCAACGTTAAAAATATCTGATTGTCAATATTGACATGAGATGGTCATGACAAAAGCCCATATTTTTTTTTTATTCTATCTGCATAAGTTTAATTCGTATCCATAGAGGTTTTTGCAAAAAGGATACTAATGGCTTTGAATAAAAAAAGGTTTATACAATAAAGTTTACAAATAGTATAGGTACATTTGCAAATGCAATAAAAACAATTACTCATTGCATTACTCACTTCCTGCTCTCTTGTTTGACTTTAAAATACGTATTTAAAAGTGCTTATTTACATATTTTGTACACTGTCGAATTGGATGGTATCTATAATGACAAGCATTAGTCAAAGAAAATAAATAAATAAAAAACGAATGACACAAAAATTACTCGATTCATTCTAATCAAAGTATCAATGTCAATTTGGTCGTACAAATCGAAAGCCAGAACTGTTATATTCTTCACTCCGATCGAATCACCCATTTTAGTTCCAAAAAGCAATCCCAAATAAAATTGGAGTAGAAAAATCCTTTGGAAATTAAACAAATTTAGGTAACCTTGGCATAAAATTCAAAAAAGCGAGCTCGGAGGAGGCTTTAAGTGATTCAATTCCAGTCTACTTGAGATACACTCTTATGTCTGAGATGGGACTTCGTATGAGAGTGGAAATTCGGTGACGTAATTGATGACATTTCAATGAATCGCAATGTTGAGAAAATAGAATCCGTACAGTCTATTAAGACAGTGCTATTTAAAAAGGTCATATTGTGTATAGAAAAAGATTGTATTGTTGTTTTAGTGGCTTGTCGACTAAGTTTAATTCCCTCAATATACAACTCTTTGTGTGTTCCACAAAGTCTCGAAAAATAAAAGTTGATTTTTGTTGCAAACTTTAAAATGTTCATTTATATTGTAGACAAAGTCACTTTGTTGATAGTACCTATTCGTACAATAGTAGCTCCACTATTTTTACTCAGAGACTTTGACGTATGGTATAACGACCTGCGGCCAACTGCAAGCGCATTCTTCGTGCAGTTGGAGCAACCGTGGTCCTAACTAATGTTTAGCACATTAACTTGAAACTGTTTCGTCGGAACGTCGTTGGATAAATTACTGTTTGCGGACAGCCCTATATCTCACATTGCATCGAGTGTCGGTTCACAGAATATGGAGGTGCTATTTAACTTACCAGTTACCGAGTCATTGTTTGCTTTTAATTGGTGTGCTAATTAACTGTTTATTTATTGAGAAATTCGTTAGGAATCGGTTTTATATTTTATTTTTTCATAATTATTAAGGTTAATTCAAGTAGTACTAAAATAAAGTGTGTTGTACATAAATAGTTGACTAACGAATTTGGTTGGTCACCGTAAGCGCGGGTCTTGCTGGCCTCCCACCGACGTCTTCCAGAACCAGACCCAAGCTTAAAACACGTGCTCAATAAGTGCCATCAGACCGAAGATGGGCTTGCAAAGACCGATGTCTAGCTGTAGTTGCGGGTGTAAGTTCAGTAATGTACCCTGGGCTGGACCAGGAGAAAGTACAGAGTGGTTTTTAGTTATAAGAGTCTGCCACTTCTACTCGACTCGCCTAGGTTGGTGGATGTCATTTAATATTTTTCCTCTATAAAACTACTACTATTTGGCGTTCAGGAAATAAAGTAAAAACTTATTTTAGAATAAAGACGCGATAGGTTTATTAAAATAAATAAGAAAAGCATTTAATTTAGCATAATAATAGGAGGCAGTTCCTTAATTTTTTTGACTGTACTAAAGTCATTTTTATAAAAAGTAATGAGAAATATTAAATTAATTAAAGTTATTAATGATGACGAATACTTTTTCACAGACAGAAATTTTATATAAATCATTTTCACGGTCTGCATATTGTTAATATATGTACGAATGAGAAACGAGAGCTATGGAAGACTACAAATACGCAAGGGAAGTGTGGTTAAAAAGTAATAAACTTACGTGGTTGATTTGCCTTGCGCCAGTCGTGGTTTCCCTCATGAAAATATATAGGAACTTTACACGAGTTTGTCCTTGTTGACAAAGGTACATAACGTAAAGGTGGGTAAAGAGGTTTACAGAATGTTGCTTTGTCTAGCTTAATTGATGGTTATGAATCAAACGACAGGCTCCTCTATTTTAACTTTTATGCAGGTCATTTTAACCGAAATGATAATATGGTAGGCGCCACATAACACCTCATGTGACACCGCTTGCGTTGTTTTTCGCAGTCTGAGAAAGGTCAAAACCTCAATCCCCAAATCCCTCAATCCTTAAACCTCTAGCATCTAACCCCTTAAAGTTCGGCAATGTCTTTACGCACTTGGAATTCCTCTGGTGCTCCAGATGACGCCGCCTTTTGCCTAACATCGGTTTCACCAGTTGTGTTATAATCCTCATGTAACAGAGAATAATCAGATTACCTTACATTGAACACAGTCCTGGACACCATCTTCTTACTGCAAATTTCTAAAAAAAAACCCAATGTAAATAAAAATTCAATGCTTTGAAATATTGTATTTGTAAACGCACCCATGATACAGGAGAACATCCAGGCATTGAGCAACGTTTTATTTTTGAAACACAAAATCTTAAATTTACTGTAAAAAATATAGTAAGTACAGTTGAATTGAGAACTCAACCTTTTTTGAAACATGTCGTACCTAAAAAAGTTATGTTTAGTAAAATTAAAGTAAAGTAATGTAATCGGTGAAGTAGTTGTAGTCGTGTACAGAACCATTTAGCCAACGAGGCATGAAGGGTTCAATTACGGTACTTGTTAAAGCTTACACTGAAAACGGTAACTCTAGCTTATTTGGAAAGGCAAAAAATATATAAACAAAGATCACATGGCTAAAGAATATTACAAAACGTCGTGACTTTAGTTCTCAAAGGGCTAGGCATAAAGAGACGTTCATCTAATACTAATATTATAAAGAGGTAAAATTTGTAAGTTTGTCTGTAGAGGATAATCTTTGAAATTGCTAGTCGGATTTCCAAATTTTCACTGATATATAGTTACAAGTGTTATGTTACATACACATGCGTAAACGCGGATGGAAGCTTGTTAAATACACGTTCACGAATCTTTCCTTGCGATACCCGAGAGAAGAGAAAGGGTGACAAATAAATAATTACATGTTTTACTACATTGGATTTATAGCAGGTTCGTATGTTTTACCTATCATAAAAATATTAATTTTCCATTTATGTTATACTAATATTATAAACTGTGGGTTTGTTTCTGTTTAAACGCGCAAATCTTCGGAACTACTGAGTTCGCATAAACAAATATTTTTGTGATGGATACTTCATATATTGAGGTATGCTATAAAACATCAAGCTACGATACAATAGGACTGAGCAGCTGTTGAAACCGCGCGGGAGTAGCTGGCAGTTATTTACCTTACACATGTGTTCGAAAAAATCAAATTGAGAAGAGGAGATCACTTGTCTTAGAACAGCACTTGACCATAATACAACAATAATTATAATTATTGTTGTCTTTTGTCATAGATAGCTAATTAATTACTGCCTTGCTATTGACCCTAATTACCTCTTGCGGTTTTGAGGTTAGTGATGTAATTAGACCGTGACAGAGAACAGGGTGCGAATGGAAGCAGGACCTTTTGAAGTTGATACTCAAATACTCGTACATCGTTAATATGATTATTTAATATATTTTAACTCAAAAAATAAACATAAGGTTTGTATCAAAACTTATAAGGATTTTATTGAATTTAAACAATGTTGTTAAATATTACAAAATCAAAGGCAGGAAACGTTTAAAGTAAGTAACTGAAAAATAATTTGACGCCACAAAGAATCCGGGAAAAATATTTTAGTAAGGATTTTTTTCGACATTGATATATCTGTTTAATAAGAATTGATAAAATCAATGAGCATAATATAAAACAAAAACAAAAAACAATACGAATTAAATGTCCCAATTTAATAATCCTAATCTCTTTTATTGCATAACCGAACCTGCAGGTATTGCTAGCTAAAAATAAAACAAAAAGTACTATCGACAAATATACGCGCTCACCCCCCATACAAACACTAGATATGGCAACGAGCAGTAACGTAGCTTCGAACACGGACGTGGAACAAAAAATTCAAAAGAACTGTCATTTTCATAAAAGCATCTTTCACCTCTGAACCTTTGATCGTACTCATTCGTATATGAAAGATTGAATTCTGTAGGACGTAACATTTATCAAAAACTAGCTTTTGTCCGCGACACCGGCCGTGTCCCGTTGGCTTACTGTTCCTATTTTGTACCGTACGACATGAAACATGGCTTTGTTTTCGAATTGTACTTTGTTGCCGCTTTCAGTAGTTTGATCGAAGATAAAGTTATTGTGTATTGTACAAATATTTATTATAAAATTTTATAAAAGAGAAACGGTTACATTTTGTTTGTCTATATGTTGCTAGGTGTATTTAACACTGATGTCTCCTGACTTAGAAAAATACTAAAAATAAGCCTTTCATCAGTAGACAGATCACCCGATGATAAGCTATCAGCGCCCATAGAAACATGCAACACTTAAAGACAAGATATCACTTATAGGGGTGTCGCCAGCCTTTTGTAGGTTGTCAGGAATTTTAGAATTAGAGATTCAGGGGAAAAAAAAATTGGACTTCCAGTAACCTGACTCTAAGGGCGCGACACAACGCAAGTATTGTTACTATTCTGTAAGGCCGAGGTGCCACTCGGGACGAGCCGGCTCATTCATGACGTAGCCAAACTTTTCATTTGACTGTTTCTAAATGCACCCACGACAAAGTACAACGACTTTGAACATAACATACAGGGAGTAATCGTCTTGCCAAAGAATATAATAATATAGGTAATGAATGTAAATCATATGTTAGAAAAAAATGTGTTTAGCTCACACTCGATTTTAATAATAGAATAGTATTTTGTTATCCCTTTAGGAAATATTCGGTTAATATTAAGATTGTATCTTGTGTCAA